GCAAATTTCCTCCCTATCATTTGTCTTCGGCTTTGCACGACAACGAACAGTCGCGGTCCCGGTTACCGGGGTGGTTCCCTCTTTAGCGGGATGCCCTGAATAGCGGTCCCAAAATCTCGTGGCACGGCTGCACCTCGGCAGTCAAACTACAACAATAACTGTCAATCCGGTTTAGCGGCGATGCCCTCAATGAATGGCGGTTATGATGTTGTGAAGGACCGCTAAACCGGGACCCACGAACGACTGTATCACGAACTGCGTTGTTTTCCTTTCCATCGGGGAAACACTTGGGAACGGGTTTTTATTTTAATGTCGTGTAATCGAGCGGATCGCTTCCTCACACAAGTATCACACCCACCAACCAACTCCAACAAGTAAGCGACAAAAAACAAGCGAAGAAGAAAAAAAGAGTGCGTGAGGAAATCATTCAAACGCCTCGTTCGATTCTGCTTCTTGGCACCAAGGTATTGCTTCGGAAACAACTGCTCCGAACCACCCCTCTCTATATGATGACCATTCTTCGTGCATGCATCAGCCGCCAACCCGACTCCGTTCGTTGCCGATGGTGTCGACTTCGATAACAAACAAATTGGGACGGGGCCCACGATGGAAGCTAAAACAGCAGCAGTGCCTCAACCACTACTGGTCAATCTTACGCTGCTGCTGCTGCTGTTGCTACTGCCGCTCGCTGTCTTTGCGTAACACGGCCCCACCAGCGCCGCCACGTCCTCAGCAGCCTTCCGTTAGTCCGGTTTTTAACAAAAAAGCAAATACTTTATAATAATAGATGCTGCTTGCTGTTGTCGCCACAGACCGAAAAAAAAAAAAAAATCTCATCAATAATACGTCATGTTCCAACCCCCTCCCATCCATTCACTTCCTTCGCACACCATCCCCTTCGTTTCCTGTACCAGGTAGTTAAAGCTGTGAGTGCCAATAACCACGAACAACGACAAATAAATGCTTTGTAAGACTTAACTCCATCACGCACGACACACAGCCAACCACGTGTATCAAACATTCACTCACAGAGAGAGGTGACTGAAGTTCGATTTCCCCTCGTTGATACGAAAAACCGAGAGGAATTTCGACAAGACACACCGGGACTGCGGTACGCACTCAACAAACACAAAAACAGAGTCTACACCGTATGTATGTAACGCTTCCAAACGAGAGAGCAAAAGCCAGCAAGACGCATTCTTTTTTCTTTTTTTTCCCTATGAAACATTGCCGTAGCGCAAGAAAACGTACCAGCTTAATTTATTTTATTATCGTACATTGGACACAACAAGAAAGCCACCACCACCACCACCACCACCACCACCATGAGTGAGTGTTTTGTATCAGGTGCTTGCTGCTATGCTGACAGTGGTCAAGCAGAACACGAGCGCTGCTTGGTGCTCTACTTCGTTCTGATGGATCGAGTGAGGTTTTTTGTGCCTGTAA